GCAGTTCGAAGTTCCCTTGAAAGGGAACTGGGTTGTATAGCATCACTAGCTTTCACAGATTTATAACAGTGTCTCAGAGGAAAGAGTGAAAAACGTCTTGGATGGGAGGGATGAACTGGATTCCATTACAACGCCAAGTTTTGCAGGTTTAATGCAGGACTTCTAAGATGGTATGGAATAACCTGGCTCCATATGAGCACTAGGTCCTTTGGCTTTAGAACTGGTTTCTCAGTGGGAAGAGAGCTAGACTTCTCAGAGGGGAAAGAGGAACTGGGTTCCATGGGAGCACTAGATTGTTCAGGATTAGAACTGGGTTTCTCAGTGGGCACACTGGTAGTTCCTACCACGTGAGTTTGCGACGCTGTTTGCGAATGTTCGTTTGAACTATGGTCTCGGGAAACACAGAATCGTTGAACTATGTTGGTAACGATGGAGCTTGCGACCATAGTTGGCTAACAATGCTTTTGGGAAACGCACCCCAGTTTGGCACTCTAACCAGGCATTTCAAAGATAAGCATTAACAGATTTGCATCACCTTGGCACCCCATCAGCAAACAACTGGTGGATTTCACCTCACTCTGTATTTAACACTTGTGATTTCCAGTTTAGAAATACAGTTTTGACATAGACAGACAGGATTAAAATGAGTCTTAATGAGTCTAAACTTATATTTACAAGAGTTAAGTTATAAATGTATGTTTTCCATAGGGTGTGAGTGGTGTCCTGTCTGTTTTGAACAATTCATCCAAACAATTTAAAAGTGTTTTTGTTTCATTCGTAATTTTGTATGTTGGTTTTGTCACTTGTCATTGTATTTTGGAAGTTGTATTAAAGCACACTGGTAAACCTCACCAAATCTATCAGTGCACGACTCAGCATGCAAAGTATTTGTTAATGGGTAGTCTGAATAATTCTTTGTTCTTCATTCTTTAGTATGCGGTATGCCAAATAATTATACATTTTTAAATATACTACATTTTATGATGCGGTTGTTCTTTGACCAGTATATTGTTTAACCTGTGATAGACTAATAACAACCATTAAAATAATTTACTCTTCATCTTTATTTTTCTGTTCCAGAGGCCTCATGGAACAGAAAAGCATCCACACTTCAGACTTTCACACTTCAGAATCTCAGCAGATGCAGTAGGTCGTCCAGGTATTGTTTGCATATTGTTTAATGAATAAATATATTGGAACATAGTAGGGAAGTACATGTATTCAGGCGCAGAGTCACTCAAGTCGATGATCAGGTGTCTACCCAAGGGGTCAGGCCACTTAGTATGGTCCAGTTAGCAGTTGCTGGAAAATACCATAAGTACATAATTTTGGTGATTAAAGCACCTTTCTCCACTGACAGACATTTAGAATAGGCTGTGTACTCTGATTAAATAAAATTTTTGTAAGCAACTCATAAATCTAATTATTTCATTATATTAAAGTATACATATGTTTTACCAGTGCATGTTTTTTTTTTTTTTGCTGTTTTTACTCAATGTACTTGTACCCCACATGAAAATTCACTTAGAACGCATTGATTTAATTCCAAAACAAACCCTTATTTGGTATGGTGGCACACAAAAAAACATGGGCAAATTAAGATCAGATTTAATACCAGCACATAAATGGCTTGTTCTTTAAGAATTAACACTTGTGTGAATGGGGGAGAACATGAGGTTTTGCAGAAGAGAAAACTAGATACAGATACAGATGAGAATTCTCAATGGGTTTATGTCAATAAATAAATAGAATTTCTATTTCTCTCAACATTTTAATAATTGTTAGTCACAATGGTGACAACATAGTACAACGACAGTAATTTCTCTTCAATTTTAATACAACTCTGTAGTGATGTTTGATTCTTGAACGAATCGTTCTTTTGAGCCAGTTCTCAGGAAGTAACCGGTCGAGCCGGTTCACAAAATCAAACTGAAT